TTCCCTACAAAACGCTCTCAAAATCCAGCTGTCCTCTTGCAGCAACCTCTCTTGACAAACCCTTACCAGTCAAATATCCTATCCAGAACACCCCACTCTTTCTCTCTGAAACCTTCCCAGTTCTCTTGTGGTCCACTTAGAAATTCAGTATTCTTTCCTGGAAGTGTTTTGTATCTTAGAATAATTTTGTAACTTGTGTCAATGAGAAAAAATGCAGTATATTAACCTGCCCTTTAATGAAAGGATTGCATGGTGCTGTGACGTATCAACAATTAGAAAGGATTTAGTAAGTCCCTGGTTACTGGAATCACATTAGGATATCTATGAAGGTAAGAGATTGTGATAGAAGGGCTCAGAGAGGATGGTTTAACGGTCCTTTTCACCTTATTCCCCATGAATGTATGATCAGGTAGAACAAATACTTACTCTTTCAATGTGAGCCAGGTAAAAGTCAATGAAATCCTGCAGTTCATCTGGTATCCCACGCTCTGTGTGCATTCTGATCTCTCTCCTTGTAAAAGAGCTCAGGACATCATAGCAAGACAATGCCTTTTTATGAGGACCAGGGAGACGGCACATCAGCCAGGGGAAGATTTCATAGAGCTGTGGGAGTCACGCACAAGAGATACCACAAAGTCTCTATTGCTAGAAAATGCATTTTAGATCTACTAAAAGGAGAAGGTGGTATTCATGTTAGCATGTGGGTTTGGCATCATTACTAAAATACTCTGACAAAGACTATGCTTATGTTTTCAAGTTGTGAAACAGTACACTATATAATTTCTAGCTGTGTTGATGGTAAGATTCAGAGTTACACATGCTTTCAGCTCAATCACAATTAGAATGATTATAATTAGAACGAAATGTATTCATTTATTCAATTATTCAATTCCTGTATTCAATGACAATGAACTGGATTCAGGCATTTAAAAAGTGAGATCCTCCTGCCCTCCAGTGGAGAATACCGGGAAGGAAGAAGGAAAGCCGTTGCAAATTGTCCTCACCAGGACGTGCAAAAGCAGTTGATCCAAGCCAAAGCAAGGGCTGGCTACCAGCGGCTGGTCTACAAACTCGGTAATCCCACAAAACACTCTCTACTAAAAGAGCTCTCAAGTGTCGTCAATAAAACTTGAAACATCTGAAACACAGAAATGTTGAGAAACAGATACCTGATATTTTTGAGTGCTGTCTTCTAGAAAAAGAAGAAGGAGTTAGCTGACACAACCAGATTAATTTTCTCCTTCTCTCTTAGGGAAAATCTGGCCTATGAATAGTTGCTTTTTACCCATTCTGATAGCTAGAGAGTTAATTCTGATTTTTAGCCTATATTTATACCTGGGGAAGTTGTATACATTGTTCTTGTACTTGCAGTGTATTTTGTCTTAATAGTTCTTTTCCTGCTTGAAACATAATCCCATGATTTATTTATCAGCAGAAGTTTTATCTTTTCTCAGTCTTCATTTTGCTGAGTTCTTCTCGTACTCTTCTAATTATACTGCAGAAAGCATGTTATTAGGTGTTCAGTGGAGTCTGGCTGAATTAGATAGACTATACTTCTGTCTTTTTGGAAAATCAATTTTATTGTCAGACATCCAATTACCAATTAATCATTGCCTTATCACAGAAAGGTAGTAGTCCAGCTCTTTGTAAATTCACACAGAACTTCGTATCCTTTTTGTTTAGTTCCATCTCTGGTATTTTTTTTCTTTCAAAATCAGTTCAGAAGCCTTACATACAACTGTGGTCTGACTAATCATATATGGTTGCCCAGATTACATGCATTCCTACTCTCAAATGCATTCACTTTCCAGCTACTATGGCACCCAAACTATAAGTGGAATTTAGCTCTCAACATCCAAGACAGGAACTGAGTCCATCCACCTTCCTGGCCACCAGTCCTGCCGAAACTCCTCCTCCATTTCTGGAGGGGCCCAGTCCACAGGGTTCTCCCATCCAGTGCCTGACAGCATGGAATCCAGTTAAGAAATGGGCATGTGGACGCAGCAATGTCCACTTTTTACATGATAGGAAAGTATTTCCTATTTTGCATCCAGGAAGTGGGAAGATTGCAGCCCTCCCTCTGGAATGGTTTGAACCCTTGTTCTTTTTTTCCCAGAACAGCATCTTATTTATTGAACTAAAGCAAAGCTAGGGTAGGAAGAAGAGAAGAAAAGGAGGTATAATATTCTGTATCCCAAAAGCAGGTCTTGCCTGCCACCACCACACACAACTTACAGGACCAAAGCTAGGCTAAACAAAAGGGAACCTGATCATAACTCAGTAAGAGAATGCTCCATGGGACATGGGGGGGAAATTCCTGTATTACAGGGATTACTTACATATTTTACACTAAGAAGCTACTGCGTAAGATGTATGGGACAGCTTTAGAAGCGGAACCAGAACTCCCAGGCAACTTAGAATACACTTTTGTGCAAAGCAGGCCTCTTCTAGTGTCAGAGAAGTCCTCGACTCTCAGAAGAGCACTGACTGTTTTGATTGCCAAGCTTACAGGAATATTTGCTGGCTTAGCATTTCCTATCTTTTGCTGCCTGCCTCTAGAGCTGCTCCTCACTCAGGGTGAAGGAGGGGAATTTCACTGGGAAGTCTCCAAGTCTCCACTTCTTATAGAGGAAATGGAGATAAGTAGCCACAGGCAAAACGCTTAGGTATTTGAATCATTCTTCTCTCTGTTGACTGTATATAAAACAGTGTCTAAACTTGGCAAGTGAATCACACTTTTAGACCTGACATGTAGTATGCCCAAGGCAGGAATCTGTTGTGCATGGGGGTTGAGAAACCAAGTAACAAACAGGACCCAGGAGCAGTCCATCAGCTTGTGCCTTGCTGCAAAGATTTAGGCACAAACGACCTTATCACAGTACTCAAACATAGGACAATGAACACAAATGACCAAGGCTGGTATGTAGAGCTTTACCATCATACTTTGAGGCAGTGTATTGTAAAGCTGCATGAGACGTCCCTCACCCATTCAAAAACTTTTGCCTAACAGCTACTTCTTGAATCTGTATTTCTCACTTTCTGTCTTATTCAGAAAAAGACAACAAATCATTTACTTACATGATGAATAAAACTGCCTCCAAATTTGAATATATACTCTGTGGCTCTAATCAGTTCATGGAAGGTTTCATCCTCTCTGGAGAAGCGACGTCCAAAAACAACAGCACAAATTACATTTGAGACGGAATGAACGAGAGGGAAAGAAGGATCCAGGGGTTTCCCTGTAACCATAATAATAAATGTCACTGTTAATGTCTCCTATTCTGCTTTAGTGAAATGAGAGAATATTATAGGTTACCCAAAGGACTTTCAAGAGAGCACTGCATTTCACAGAGAAGCAGCAATCTTCTTACAAAATTGTACTTTCAAACTGATTCAATCCCATAATCCCAGAAATGTGTGGCACCCTAAAGAAATGCCAGATGTATAAAATATTTTGTAATATGATAGAGCAAATTTAGAGGTAAGAAAAAAAAAAACATATGCAAGTTTGCTGTTTAGCAAACTCAACATAAGTCTCAAGCACGGAAATGATTGAAAACACTGTGATCAAAGGAAATCTGAGGGGACAGCCATAAGAAGAGAGGCAGCCTTACTCAGCAAGAACATAAATACATGCAAGGCTACTATATTTTGTCTGACCATGCTAGAGATGTACAATCTCCAGTAAGATAAAATGTTGTAAACTCCTTTCAACCAATTGTGTCAAGAAAATAATAGCTAATTTTAAATAAATTACTTGAAAAACTAATCTCAAAAAACTATTTTGTGACTCCAGAATAAATTACTATAAACAACTATATTTATGTACATACTGATGCAACTGTCCAACACTCAATGCACAATTCTGATTAACAACTTATTGTTCTGGGCTTTTCTTTCCTGCACATGTGGTCACATCTCAATCTCTCCTAGTTCTTAAACCATGGGATTGGGCTAGATTTAATTACTTTTGATACAATGCTAGCTACAGCATGTCCTTATTTACTGTGCCTTTGCATAATGATCAGTATTTGGAAATCCAACTCACATGCTCCTAACTGCGTTGATCATGATAAAAAGTTGTAGTGAAGACAAAAGTCTAGTCACTGCTTTACAGAGCACATGCCAATGGCATTACAAGACTTAATTCATCAGCATTGATAATGTGTCTTTATGCAATCTTTATGCACCAGCACCATATATGAGCCAGCAATGTGCCCTTGAGACAAAGGTGGCCAACATCATCTGGGCTGCATTAAGAAAGGCATTGCTGGCAGGTCAAGGGAGGTGGTCCTTCCCCTCCAATCAACACTGGTGAGACCCATCTGGAGTGCTGGGTCCAGTTCCGGGCATACAAGAGAGACATCAGTATATGAGAACAAGTTGAGCAAAAAGCCACAGGGACAATTAAAGGACTGGAGCATCTTATGTAAGAGAGGCTGTGAGAGCTGGGACTGCTTAGTCTGGACAAGAGAAGGCTCTGGGAAGTATCTTAAATGTGTATAAACAACTGATGGAGGAAAATAAAGAACATGGAGCTTAGATTTTTCTCAGTGGTATCAAGTGAGGCAATGGGCAAAAATCGAAATACATTAAATTTTGCCTAAACATAAGAAGCTTTTTTACTGTAGGGCTGATTGAACAGGTTACCCAGAAAGGTGGTGAAGTCTCCATTCTTGCAGATATTTAAAACCTAACTGGACTCAGCCCTAAGAAACCTGCTCCAATTGACCCTTCTTTGAGAAGGGGTTAGACTAGACCATCTTCAGAGATCCTTTTCCTCTTTAAGCATTCTATGATATAAATAGTAAATAAGCTCCACTTTTGCTTCCCAATTTTAGTTTTTTTGTAAAGAACTTTGAACAAGAATAATCTCCCACTGGGTTTGAAAACACAGGACTGGTGTCTTTGCATTTTCAGTCCATTCCACATAGACACTGTAAAACCTTGCACACTCTCTTGCAGAACAAAAGCTGTCCTTGATTTCAGAGTAGGACAGAGCAGTTCATACACTAAAGACATCAGACTAATGACAAAAATAATCAGTATTTATTGCAGAGATACCTTTCATACTTGCAAAGAAGTCTACCAGGTAGTGGGCCTCTTCTTGAACTCGATGCTCCAGACCTCTTTTCCCCAGCCCAAGGTTGCGTAGAGTCCTCAGGGCAAACCTTCTCTGCTGCTTCCAGGTATGACCAGTTGCCAACATAATCCCTGCATCCATTCAAGGAAGAGCTCTTCATCATGCTAATATTTATTATAGACAAAGACTGCATTAAAAGAGTTACTAAACCACAGAATATAATGGAACTATTGCATTGCCTATGAACACAAAGACACAAAGGAACAGCTGTGGCATGTAAGCATGTGGGCAGGACTAAAATGGACAAACTCAACTGCGTAATAAGATGACTTGCAGGATTAAGCTTGATCCAAGACAACCAGTTATCTCAGAAAGTTTGACAGCTGCTTCTCTAGACATTCTCTGAACGCTTGCCTCCCCCTCTCTTCTATGCTTAGAGCTCACCTGACCAGGGTAATGATTCTCATGAAGGGAAAAGCGGAAAGAGTTCTGATTGTCCACAGTCGGGGAGAAAAGTTCCTGTCCACAGGGCAGAAAAGTTCAGTACTTGGGCTTTGTGAAAAATATCTTCAGAAGAAATAAACATCATATACTAACAGGCTTTTTTTTTTTAGTATAAGAATCACCAAAGACTGAAACAAATTCAAATTAGAAATATTTGGGGAATTAGGTTTCCTTAAAAAAAGTCAAAGTCCCAAATAAAATAAAGGTAATTTCATAATGAATGTGTTCATGAAAATCAGGAGTTTGGGAATTGCCAGTATAAGTATGAAACCTATAGCAAGGTTGAAACAGAAGTGCAGTGAACATCTAGATGCAACTGAGAGAGTAAGAAAATATTCACAAAAGGAAGGGAATGGGAAGAAGATCCCACCATCAAGCTCATTCTTCAGTTGAAAATGTAATGGTAGGAGGCAGCAAGTGCAGGACAAGGAACCGTGCTGTTTCCTGTTCTTCCACTTCTCTGTGGCACAACCTACCACTGCCTCATCACCTCTGAATCTGCTCCAGTGAATATTTCACACAGGGCATTATGAATTGCTTTTCTTTTGCTGGTCTTCTCCTCCTCCTACAATCCAAAGGCTATTTCGCCTCTCCCTACTTTGCAGTTCACCTGGCAGTCATTCCTCATAGACTGCTACTGTGGGACCTTTGGAAGTGGTTATAAGCTACAAAAGAGCTGCAGTTTCTCAAGACAATATTTATGGCAAGAAAATCTTACCTTTTCCTTTGGCCATTGCTCTGAAGAAAGGAGACACTAGCCTCCCAGAAACATCTTCAGGGTGCATGGTCATACCATCCTTAACCGCTTGAAATCCATTCAGTACAATCACTGGGGCCCATCCAAACCATAAGGTGAATATGTTGCCATGAATTTTTGACAGCTATACATGGGAGAGAAGCCAGGAAAGCACAGATGAAATCCCACACACTGCAGAGTATGAACCTGTTTTTACACTGATTACAGGACCAGCCCTAAGGTGGAATGATGTTCTCCGTCTTTCTCACACGATTACAATTATCTGTGAGAAAGCATGAATGTCTTTTCCAGCATCCACTGTTGGAAAAAACTGAATATTCCAGCTTTTCAGAGCTGCAGATCTATGCCAAGAAACATTAGGTAACTTTTATTGCTGTATATAAGCCAAGGCTCAGTTCACAATGATTCATGTGATAAAGGGTGTATGCATGAATTTATTTCAAGAGGGTTTCTATCATTTGTACTGGTAAAGTGGTGCAAAGGGAACACATAAATGTCAGAGGGTAACTAGCTTGTAGAGACTGGACCAGTTGCTTTCTTCTTCCCCCCCACCCCACTGCATATTTAGGTACTTGAGTAAGACCATTCTGTCTCACAGTGTCCTTACTTCCTGCCTGAACCTGCCATTTGGTCAGAATAACTGGCGTGCCTCATCCAAATTGCAATGACAGAAGCCACTGGAGTTGTCTGCTGAGAATCCTGAAAGCACTGCGAGAACCAACAGAATGAAATAGAGACGGCTTTGTGCACAGAAGTACTCCTCAAAAATAAAGGTTTGTGGGTTTTTTTTAGATTCTGTCAATACAAACAAGCATATGCACACATAGTGCATCTTAAGTATCTATTTACTGCTCAAGCTGGAGAGTGCCAGTGCTCGGAAAGCTAAAAGTCCATGCTGTGAAAGTATTTTTTTAAAATAGTGTTTCTTTTCCCTTACTGCAAATCTGATATATTATCCTTGAGGGTATTTAATCCTAAATGATATGAATTTTCACATGAATTCATCAAATTCCGTGTTAAAAGGTGACAAGTTTAAGCATCAGAATGATTTTCACACATTCAGAACTTCCGATACCAGTTTTCTTAGCTTGGCAAAATACTTTATGCTGCAATAACTTTTTCTTATGTTGCCAACCAAACCAGCAGTTCTGAACCAAATCAAGTGCAGTATCACAGCGGCTAGTTAACAATCACAGTATGTTACACCAATGTAGTTTTGGGAGAGGATGTTTTCACATAGCAAACAATATGAGAAATAGGAAATTATAAAGACTTTTAAACAATTAGGAGTATCTGAAAATAAATACCTTCATGAGAAGATCACGATTAAACTGAAAGTTCAGCTGTATCAGGGTCCCAAAAATTGGGAGAGGGATTGGTCCAGGAGGAAGCCGTCTCCGTACTTGTTGCAACTTAAAAAACTGCATCATTAAAAGAAATACAGCCAAGGCTATAAGAACTTGACTTATTGTCAACATTTTAACAGCTGCTTTTACCAGCTTGTCGTTATTGAAAATAGTCTATTGAAGCTTTAATAGCTTCAATTAAAGCTGGTTGCTCAACAAGCTTTTTCAGAAGAGCTTAGATTTCATTTAATAACTATTCTCCACCCCTAACCCTCCCTTCTTTATTATCAACCACTCCCTTTTTGTCCCACTCATTACATTCTCGTGCTCAAGCGTATTTAAGAGATGCAGACCCTTCTCCCTCCTCTCATTCAAATTATATTTACCAAATATGGATCACAGGATTTGCAGGAATGGTGTCTTAAAAGACTAGGGCCAAGATTTTCCAACATATCCAGACGTTAAGTTCTCCATCTAATTTTCAGAAACAATTGTGGATGGTATGTGGTCCTACAAATACTTCATGAATGCTTTTAGAAAATCAATAGCCATACATACAAATTAAGCATGCAAATGTAAGTGGATATTAAATCTCAAAGTTTTTAAAATGTTTTGTATATATTCCATATATACATATATCCAGTAATGGCAAGGCTGATAAAAGTTAAAAGCCCACATTTATCTGCAGATAGATATACGAGTATCTAATGTTTAGTACAAAAAGCAAAATTTGTTAGGCTTTCACATTTAATTGAAAACATAACTGGTTTACTTTATAACCTCACTTTCTTTTTTTTCTAACCTATTTGCAATAGCTGACTTCACTGAGGGATTTGCCTGCTTCTGAATTTCCTCTTTTGATCTTGACATAAAGGTGGATACCCTAAAGGATATTCTGAGCAATCATCAGAAAGCTTACCAGATAAATAAAGCATATGGATCTAGAAAGTACATCTATTATGAAACACACAGATTTAAAAACAAAACAAAACCAAAACCAAACCCAACCAAACAAAAAAAAAAAAAAAAAACAAAAAAACAACCTAACATGGGAAAAACCCACTAGTAGTCTTGATCTACAACCAGAACTAAGGGCCCCAGCAAGAACTAGTCATGACATGCATGCGCCATACTTGGTAACTTGAGAATAAAAGCAGTCTGTAGCCAAGGCTCTTTGCCAAGCCTCAACACACACAGAAAGTATAAATCTACCATCAGGGGAGTTCACGTGCCTACAATCGGATCATGAAAACCATGTGAGAGGGATTCTGGGCACCACATAACAATGACAGTTACAGCCCTGTGTTACAGCTCTAGACTGAAATGCTAACGGGTGAATAAATGCTTCCCTGTGAAAAACACTCATCCTCTGAAAGTAAAACACTCGTGAAAGAAATACATTTTCACTAATCTTCTGAAAACCTGCCAAGACACCTTGTGCATCAGCTTGCTTCTTTCAAGCGTCCTGTCTTCAGGACAGAAACTGTTTCATAGGATTTGTGGCTCTGGGACATGAAACACACTTACCCACAAAGAAGGGCCTGGAGTTTGTGAGCCCACAGTTTCCAGACCTCCACATCAATTAGCCTCCAAGCACTGACTTCATTACTGCTAAAGCATAACTGATTAATGTGTAATATCCAAGAAATGGCCATTTCTCTGTTTCTACAAAAGCTTTGTTTGTTTAGAATAAAAACCTTATATTTCAAGGCATTCGTTTCTAGTTTAGTCCTCCACTCCAACAGGGAAAAAAAAATTCTCTTTAAAGAGAAATTCTGTTTAGTTGTTTTATCTGCCCTGTATCCACTGTAATTTTACAAAATTTACTTAAAATGCACCAATTGATCAGAATTTTTCAGTTGGCATCAATGTAGTACCTTGGCCTTTTAGATATTCAAAGATTTTTCCATCTAAATGATTTTTCTCAACAGAAAAAGCCATTTCTGCCCAGTGACTCTTTCCATGGGGAAGCCAAGAAGTTAAGGCCAGGGCCTTCACTGACACAAGGGCTGTAGCCTCGCAGCTGGACCTTTACTTCTTTCCTAGCCTTGCAGATTTGAGTTTTCACATTATCAGTTATTTCTCACAAATCCAGGTATTAAAATATCATTGGTCCCTTTAACCCCTTGTCAGATTAATCCACACCCTTTGTCATACTGTTAACACCAACCTGAAGCTCCTCCTTCCTTATTCTTTTGCCATCATTTCTGCTAAAAAGTTCCTCACATATGGGGTTCCATGTCTCCTCTTATGCTCTGGCCACTTCAGGAGGCTTTAAAACCTATTTCCAGGTGGTGTTTTCCTGAAGAAGGGAGAAGATTTCCTGTCTTTTCCAGACTTTGGCCCTCTGCTTTCCTCCATGATGCCGAGGCCCTGCCGTGGCAGCAGTCATGTCCTCCTTCCCCATCTAAAATGGGGGCACACCACAGGGGCAGGAACAGAGAGGAAAAAGTAAAAGGACAGGAAATAGAGCTGAACAGAAAGCAGATCAGCACTGGCAGTCACCACCATGCTGGAGAAGGGACATGCATGAGGTGGCACTCACAGCACCAGCTCTGCTCCATCCTGTGTGGGGCAGCCATTATGGGAAGCTGCTCTGTAAGGAGGTTGCGTGGTTCCTTCTGAAGAGCTTCGTGACACAGTTGCGTAAACCATTCCCCTGCAAGCCAGCAGCCTGCTTTCCCCTCAGGTTGTCTCCAGGCACCAGCCCAGGTGCTTTTTTCCCAGACCTTTCTGCAACATTTGCCTGTGACATCTCGGTTGCCCTCCCTGCTGCCCACTCAAGATGGCAGCCACAGCCTTCCTTGAAGGCTGGCCAGCTCCTAAAATGCCTTCCCCACCACAGCATGAGGCGGCCACTGGCATCACATCACCAGGCCCCTCTGCCTTCCTCCTTCACATTGGTCAAAGACCAGATTTCTCTCTGGACTCAGCTGGACTTTCCCTGTATCTTCTCTTTTCCCAGCATCGCCTCCCTCTTCCTGAGGAACCACAGTAAATTCCCATCTTTCCCTCCACCAGGTAACAATCTAGGTCTTAAATAGAACACATATGTTTTAACATTATATTTCTATGGCAGGAAACAAAGATTCAGTTTAAATTCCCATATCCATCTTAGATCTCCAGTTTCTCCAGGGCTATCTTTGTTTCTGCCAGATTTTCAGGTGTGAAACTCCGAAACATTGGTGACCACTTAATTTTCCCCAGATATTTCTCTAGATGGCAAAGCTCCTTGGACTATATATATTAAGCACAATAACTCATCCCAGTGATGATTTTTAAGTCGTAAACTTTTTCAAGCCTTTTAGCAGAATCCAGACATTGCAGCATGCAGCCAAAACCCTCCCAACACGACGGATTTCCTAAATGATGAAGCAACAGCTGCAGAGGCTCGATCTAACACCAGGGACGTGGAAGATGCTGGGAGCATGGGCTGAGATTCAGGAAACCCAAGAAACAAGTATTGATTGATTTTTATCTCACGTAGAGAAATGGGGATTACATTCTCCAAAACTAAACACATTTTCACAACAAAATGACTGCACTGGACAGGGCTACCAGCAATGACCTACCAGAGAGAGGATGGGAGAAGCTGGCACTTACCCACTTGGTCTTTTTTTCTTAAGCTTTCTGGCAACCACTCCTTTTTCAAAATGGTATTTTCTTACTGCTGTTAGTGACAATAAAGCCTCAGGCTGCTTTCTTCAACAATGACGTTATTCCCCTGTATCTTGTGCTTGTGGATAGGAAGTGGCTGCAATCCATACTGTCATTATCAGCTTTTTATCTTAATGCATACAAAGCAATACTGTTAGGGAATGTCACCATGGCTACTCTGCATGTAATTTAAGAAACTGTATAGAATAGGGGAAGACAAACAACTGCATAGTGTAGGAAAGGGAGTAAAGCCAGAAAGAGAATACAAGAGAGAATCAGAAAGAAGATGGAAGACACTAGAATGAGGAACATCTACCAAATATATGTTACAAGACACGGGACTGAGGTGAGATGAGAAGAATAGGTGGAGAGATTTCAGAGAGGAAAGCATAAAAGGAACAGCAGACAGCACAGGCCTAGAAGATATCTAAAGAAAAATTTGGACATGGAGGACATGAGAACTTGGACATGGAGAAAGAAAATCAATGGAGGAATCTGCAGGGGAGTTGAAAACACAGGTGTGAAAAAGCACATTAAATAACAAGGGGCTGAACCAGTAAGCAGCTACATTAGGAGACAGGAGAGGGTAAAGACATGTTCTTCCTCTCTTAAGGGTCTTTTTGTGCATCTGTCAGAGTTGACCTGTCTACCAAGTCCAAAGAAATTGGCTAGAGTTCCCTCCGAAGGCAAACAGTAAAGAGATCTCACTAGTGTATGGGCCAATTTCATATGATTTTGGGAATTATCACAAGGTACTTCAGCCCTTCCTGGATTCACTACAGCATATACAAAGTGTGCATGGTCCTCTGAAAACTTATTTCACACCAGCCTTTGTGGAAAAGAGTGAAGCCAAATGCAGCCAAATTGGGAGAAAAAATTGAAAGCAGGAAGGCAGACCAAGCCAGAGAACACCTGAAGTGGATTTTGAAGACGAGATAGAAGCAAGGAAAGGAGAGCAGAGTGATCTGTGGGGAATAGGATGACCAGTACTTTCTCATATGTCTGCTCCACACCAGTCCTGCACCTTTTTTTTTGCTTGGTGGGGAGAAAAGCAGAGTGTGTAGTCACCTTAAGCTGTCACTCTGCTCTGTACACTTCTACAAATAACATCAGGTCCTGAAGGCAGAAAGACCGAGCCACCATGGTTTTTGTGGTAAGTTCAGTTGGCTGCTCTCTCCTTCAGCAGGCATCAGAAAACACAAGGGAAGTGGCACTGAAAGGGAATGCCCCAGGAAAACCAAGATTGTAGTTTAGATTATTTCTTTCCTGGCTTTGTCTTTTAGCCCTAGAAAAGAGATGAAGAGAGTTGGCATAGTAGTATTTCAGACTCTCCTCCCCAAGGAGGCATTTCATCCTCTCCTTTCTAAAAGGGGAGCAGAGCTTTGGAGCCACTACACACAGCTTGCACAGCAAGCACATTCAAAGCTGCATTTCATGCTCTGAAATGTTTGCATTTAATCTGGCGTGTAGTTTTC